ACCCATCTGTGCTTCCGACGATCGAGCTTTGGGCGCGATCCCCGAAACCAAAAGGGGGAATGTTGAGGGTCTGACCTCATGAGGAAATTACTATGCAGTGATTTTCTCCAAAATGACTGTGCTTAAATTGCTCTGAAAAGCAAATAATCACATCAGCGCCAAGAAACTTCATTTCCCATGATGCTTTGCACACGGAAGCATTGGGATGATGTCACCGCCTAGTACCAGAAACACGTTCTGCGCATGTGCGGGAAGCCGTGGAGCTTTCCCCGCGAACTAAGACCATAAATCTTCAGCAGAGACAAAGAAACCTCGTTCTTTTGCCCAGGATACCTGGCGGTGAGGACACGCTTGTCGAACGCTCCGACTTCTTTGAGCACGCGGAAGCTCTAAGAGCCAAGTTGAGCCCACGGGACCGCTGATCTGCTCGTTTCTGCTCCCCTCCAGCTGATGTTTGAGGACACAGAACTGCGGAGGGAAACAACAACTCCATCCAGCTCTCAGAAACGCTGTAAGTTGTCAAACTCAGCCCAAAAGGAACTTCGTTTTCTTTGTGTCCAGCCGTGGAGAAACACTCGTGGAGCCAAACAACGGAGAAAGCATCAAACCGGCGGATGACGCTGAAAGCTGCGGAGAAACACGGAGAACCGTCAAATCAAAACAGTGAGGGACGCTTCACTGTTCTGGTGATCAGAAACTCATCTCTTTCTCTCATTCTTTCCTTCTCCCGTTTCCTCTATAGTCTCGAATAAGCAATAAACCGCGTCTATTGCTTAAAAAGTAGCTTCGTGTTTTCCTCTTTCGTCCCAAACACGTCCGTCGGGTCATTTTGAAGAATAAACTGCTTATTAATCATTGTTTGGTATCTTTAAATGTTCGGCCATGGCCAGGCTGATAAACTAAGGATATTAACTCGTGATTAATCTTTTGTGTTGTTGCATGATCCTTTGAAATGTTTTGAGTGATTTAAGGTTAAGTTACTACTGATTCTAAGTGCTTTGGAAGTTAAAGTGCAAGTTGCCACCCACACTTTAGCCAGACAAAGGAGTCAGCCATCTTGTAGTCAAGACTCCATTTTGAATCCATACACACGCACACACACTACTCCTTTGTGAGAACAAAGGACCCCATTCCTACATCCTACATACACACAAAACACCTTGAACATTATTTTGAATATACATCCTTTTATTATATCACATGGTTATTATTCATTTATGCCACTGTTTATTCATTTGACAAATTGTTAATTAAACGTTATAAAATTCAGATTTTCGTCTCCAGTAGCTTTGTTGTGTCGAAGAGAAGTCTCTGCTCCAAGGATTCTACGAACTTCAAGAAAGACTGATAAGAGTTTTGGATTCAATTTTTCCCCGGAAAAAGGGGAATGGTGCCCCGTATATCTAAGAATATCTTAATTAATTAATAAATCAGTAAATATTCCCATATTTACAGAATTTATTGAAGAATCCAAAAGTAAGTTGAAGCTTACTAATTGTTCGCTCCTAATAACCCCAACACGTGGGTGCAGAGCGGGAGACAGAGAACGAGGAAATTCAAACCATAATGGGCAATGATAAATCAGGTGCTGGTCAGCATCAGAAGCAGGGTTCTGAAACTGCTCAACAGCCTAAAGGTTGGTTTATGCTTGACGTGTCCGTGAGGTCCGCGCGGCAAAATTGCGTCATTTTAACAACCACGCCTCCTCACCCAAACTTTCCGCACCGCGCACCTAGGAAATTTTCTAACCACGCGGATGGACGGAAGCGGAAAAACATGGCGGACTGGCAAGAACTAGTATGGCAGAAGTTCGTAAATACAGACATTTGTATGATTCAGCTCTCAAAGATCACCGTGATCAACATGTTGTTAATAATTCTTGGAGAGAAATAGCTCGCACTGTCGGAAAAGACGAGGACGCTGTTAAAAATGCTGGACTGCCGTGTTGTAAACAGTAATTTCTACTTCTGCTATGGTGTAGTGTTGGATGCATGCCGTAGAGCTCCATGCTGCCCCCTACAGTTTGGGAGAATATTGGCTCACCGCAGAGACGAGCCGCATGAACCATAAACGCTGCGAGTTGTGAAGCCTATTAGGGCTGCAACAACGAATCAATAAATTCGATGAAAATCGATTACTAAAAGCGTTGGCAACGAATTGCGTCATCGATTCGTTGTGTCGCACAACTCTTCCAAAAGCGCCCCCCCTTCCCGCCCGCCGTTGCGCGCAGACCAGAGCAAGTCAGATCAGCGCGAGGGAGAGCCGCAGATCAGCGCGAGGGAGAGCCGCAGATCAGCGCGAGGGAGAGCCGGTACCGGCAGATCAGCGTGAGGGAGAGCCGCAGATCAGCGCGAGGGAGAGCCGCAGATCAGTGTGAGGGAGAGCCGCAGATCAGTGTGAGGGAGAGCCGCAGATCAGCGTGAGGGAGAGCCAGTACCGGCAGATCAGCGTGAGGGAGAGCCGGCAGACTTGCGCTGCTGCGAACCGGTTCCGCATTGTTGAGCAGCGATCCAGGCAGCTGCTTCCAGCGCACGGTCCATTCTCAAAGTGGCGCAACCAAAAAACTATAATTAGCACACGATCGTTCATGTCCGCACATGTTCTCTATTTTCTGTCTTATTTGTGCCTGAAGCTCGCTACTGCGGAGCTCATCACCTGTGCTGTGGTGATGTCACCTCACGCAGCATCGAAAACGCGCTCTGCGCTTTTCGGTCAGGAGATCCCTTTGATCTGCTCAAAAGTAACTGATGAGGTGAAAAGGTAAGAATCCAGGCAACAGATTTTCTGGAGAATTATGAGGAGATGCAGGAAGATGAGAGACAGACAGGACAGGAAAATAGTTGAATAAAAACAAGAAAACAAAACAAAGTGTTGAAAAGTCAAATGTAGGTAGATTTATCTCCACGACACGATTTTACCAGTAAAAAACAATAAGTTCTACACATGTCATATTTATACATCTGATACAATTCAGATCACCTTCAAAACTCAGTCACACACCCAGGGCCGTTTCAAGACATTTTGGGGCCAAGGCAAAATGCCCCCCCCCCCCCCCCCCCCCATAACTGGGCTCCCCAGAAGCCTCTGTGTAATTCATGCCCTCTCCAGGAGTGTTAGTTATACGGTGTTTATAAAAGCCCCTCAGACATTACTGACATGTTCTAATATCAGATGAAAAACTAAATTATCAGACATGCTGTCTCATCTGCTTCTTTTAAAAACTTGCAAAAAGTAACAAAACCATTTGAAAGCCACTATTTGTGGATTCTCTGAAAGTTTCCATGGAGTGTGTGACAACTTATTTTTTCATTGATCCTATCGTCTAATCTCACAGCTGAAACAAGCATCCTTAATAATCTGTGCACAGGAAGCGTACCGATGCTGTAGTAAAACAAAAGGTATAATAATTTATTATTAATAAAACCTTGTTGCAGCACTAAAGCAGAAAAATTAGATTTTGCATTAAATATGTAAAATATTTACATATGAATTGTTTTAGAGCCCTTTAATTGGCAGAATCTGATATTAATTTAGTTCTTACAAAAAATGGGTCCCAACATGGTTTGTGTGGCGTTGCCATAGTGTGACGTCATAGGCACAGATCCCCTGTCCTCTTGTTTGGAAATGGAAATATGGTCACCCTACATTAAACAAACTGTCCACCCGGGCTTTTGTGCTGCACAGAGACGCTTCGCTGCCTATGACTGAACGTCAGTTGAGAGTCAGTCTCATGCAGACTGACCAATGAAGAGAGGGCCTCAAGTTAAGACCCTCTCCTCATTGGTCAGTCCACACGAGGTGGGTCAAAGGTTACTCTGGGCGGGTTACGTGTTGTCAGGCATTCAAGTATTGAGTATATTTACTGCATATTACAGTAAAATATTCTGTATGTGACCACATTATGGTGATCCTTAGGTCGTGATGATGGAGCCCTTGAATATTGTTGCCCAGGGTACAACAAAGTGTTAATCTGGCCCTGGTTCCGCCGTCACATTCCCGCAGAAACTGGTTGATCACACCGGGGCCAGACTACTAGCATGTGGTTTTACAACCACAATGTCCTCAGAAGCAAAAACGCTTTTAAAAGGGAGGGAGGAGTCCTAACTGTTGCTGCAGGCGTGTTGTGTGAGAGTGCAGTTATATACTGGTTAATATATTTTTGGGTTCAGTTGCTTTCATGTGGCCTAATGTGAGTCTATTTGGGATCATTGGAATGATCAGCAGCATTTCTTGATGTGACTTTATGGCAGTTGCCCAGGGCATCATCGCAAGGAGGATGGCATTCATTTACTTTTGTTTTATTTGGTATTTTTTCAGTCAGTTTTGGAAATAGTGATCAATTTTGATTAATTCACAGCCTATGTTTAATTACATTTAAAATAAATGTCAACAGATGAGATCAAACAAAACAGATGAGAATTGCCCTTAAGCTGTTTAACTTGGACCAAGCATTTTAGGTCACAGATAGATGTAGCTTAGGGTCTCTGTCTATACACCTTATAAGACAATTTAGGTGATGGCATGTTGTTTTTCTGCTATTGAACTGTTTTCTAATAATGTTGTGTTAAATAAAGTGAAGGAAGGAGAGAAATAACGTTTCCCTAGCAGTTTTTAAAAATTTCCCCATGTAATCCGATTAATCGATTAATCGTGTCGAGACCCCATCCGATTAATCGATTATCCAAATAATCGTTTGTTGCAGCCCTAAAGCCTAACCCATCCGCGAGCCGCATCACCAAGCGGAAAGTAAACGCGTCAAGCATAAACCAAGCTTAATAAAAAAGGCTGGTTCTGTTCTGGGGACGACTGTGGAACCGCTGGAGGAGATGATGCAAAGAAGGATTCTCCAGAGAATCAAGAAAATGATGGACAACCCTGAGCATTCTCTTCACAAGACTGTCCGACAACGGAAGAGTGTCTTCAGTCAGAGTCTTCTTCAGTTTGGCTGCAACACTGACCGCTACTGGAGATCCTTCCTGCCAACAGCCATACAATAACTCTTTGATGACTTGATTATTATTATTATTATTCTGAGCTACTACAGCAATCAGTTTCCCTCTGGGATTATTAAAGCATTTCTATTATAACAGTTTCTTCTTCTGTGATCTGATCTTTGAGTGTGAGTCATTTAAAAGTAAATCAAAACAATTTAAAGGTCTGATCTGAAGTCCATCACGTCTGCTTAGAGGTTGGAGTTCACGCTGATCCAGTGTCTGATCAGCTGGTGGGCGATGGTCTGTCTGGGGGGCAGGACGAGGGCCTGGCTGGCTCCTCTCAACAAGGACTCGATCACCTGCAGGAAAGAGACGAATGAATGCTGCAACGCTGGTCCACGCGTTTGGGGGTTTTAGAAACAAAAATATCTGGCCGTAGCGAGTTCTGGGGATTCATTTCGTCGCCACACCCAAAAACGAACGAGAAGATTCCTGGAGCTTGTTTTCACCTGTTGCCGTGGAAACCACCGAGCCTCTTCGATCTCATTCTCATCCACCTTGATGTGGGTGGAGATGGCGACGGCGAGGCAGCCGATCATGAGGTTGGAGGGCATGGGCCAGGGCTGACAGGAGACGTACTGAACCGGACCCACCTTCACACCGCTCTCCTCCTCCACCTCCCTCCTTACCGCCTCCTCCACCGTCTCCCCTGCAGACACGCCCGCTCGGTCACATCACCAGGAAGTCACGCCCACATAGGAAGTTGAGTTTTCCTGTTCTCACTCACCTGGCTCCACAAATCCTGCTAAACAGGAGAACATCCCAGCAGGAAAGACCTTCTTTCTTCCCAGTAAGCACTGGTTTCCATCTGGGTGGACCGCCAGCATGATAACCACCGGGTCTGAGAAAAATTTACGGTGACACATTAAATAAAAGGTGAGAACCGCCGTATGATTTCATCAGGACGGAGGTCATACCGACTCGTGGGTAGCAGGTGTTGTGGACCCCCTGCAGGCTCCTGCACTGGGAGTTAAGGCAGCTCCTCTTGTACCCCCCCTCCTCCAGCCGGGTGCCGCTGCCACACGTGGAGCAGAAACTGTAGCGGCTGTGCCACGCCAGCACCGATCGGGCCTGAGCCACCACGCCTTCGGGAAGTCGAGCACAGAAACGCATCCGCTCAGGTGCAACAGAGCCAGAGGATGAGACGAAACCATCACATCTTCCTCACCTGCCTCGTCCTCGCTGAACTTCAGCAGGTCTCTGTTCGGAGTCTTCGGGAATGAGCGGCTCTTTTCCCTGCAGCGTTTCAGGAGCTCCGCTGGATCTTCATCGGTGTTGATGGCAAACCAAACCGGAGGCTCGCGGCTACCCTCTTCTGTCCCGGAGGAGGAGGAAGAGCCGGGAGTCTTCTTTCTCTCCGCTCCGAGGAAGATGAGCACAGTGGACGGTTTCTGCAGGAGGTCTTTCACCGCTTCATACCGGAACCGACACAGCTTGGCGTCCATCTGACACGCACAGAAGGACACCGGTAAAGTTTGACTCTGATGAGGTGAAACACATGATGGGTACATTTAAACAAGCATGCCTGTTTGCCGTCCTCCTCGGGCGTGCTGATCATGGGGCTGAGGTTGGAGAACAGGAGGTAGACAGAATCTGGGTCGCTTCGTTTGGCCTCCAGCCAGACCTCGTCTGTCCTCTTTGCACTCAGCCGGTCCAGCGTCTCCCTGCTGAAGTAGTTCTCCTGCGGCACGAGGTCGGCAGCTGGCAGGACTCGCTGGCACTGGTCGTCCGAGCGGCTCAGAAGGTCGGCGATGTGTCGGTGGCCCCAGAACTTGGCGACATCGTAGGCGGTTTGAGACGAGCTGTTCGCAGAAAACTTGTCGCAGCTAAAGACAGAAAAGGAAACTGTGGGTACAGAGCTGGAGAAACCTGAGGAACTGGGCCTGTTCCCATCCGTCTCGTTTGCGTTGAACCATCTGAGCGTACCCGAGGGACAGAAGCCTCTCCACCACCTGGTGGTGTCCGTTGCGAGCTGCAAGCATCAGTGCTGTCCAGCCGCTGTATCCTGTCTGGTTGATGAGCGAAGGGGTGTGAGACAGGAGGGCGGACACCTGGCTCAGATCGCCTCGTGCTGCAGCGTCTAAAAATTTCTCCACCATTTCCTCCTCCGCACTTATCTGAAGACTCGTCATCCTGGCGGATAAAAGCAACAAATCTGCGGCTGAGCAGATCCAGGTGGCTAGGACACAGCTGGTAAAAGTTATTCATTATTATGAAAAAAGTTGAAATTTCTGCCAGAAATCACAGAAACTGGAAATGCAACACGACGCTTTGTGAAACTCCAATTTCCCCCTTTTTTGATCCCAGACTAGGGCTGGGATAACGATAAATGGACGATAACTACGGGTATGTGCACAAACAATAGTTGTCCACTAGATGGGGCTGTCACATGTATTACGTTGAGTCACATTTGGTACAGCTTCTTAAAGCTTCTTTCCAGAACTGTTCTAGACTGGTTTAGATTGTACCTTTCTAACAGAAGTTACAGCGTCTGTAGAAACCAGATCATGTCAGATTCTACCAATCTGTTCTGTGGGGTACCCCAAGGCTCTGTTTTCGGTGCACTGTTGTTTCTACTGTACATACACCCTCTTGGACTGATAATTATTTCCATAATGTCTATTATCACCTATAAGCAGATGACATTCAGCTGTACTGCTCTTTCAAGGATTCTGAGTTACTGTCTTAATTACTAGAGGGTTTATCAGCTATCATCAGCTGGCTAGGAGATATCTTCCTTCAGTTAAATTTTAAAACAACTGAATGTCTGACCATTTCCCCTGAGAGCATGGATCCCCTGATTAGTCAAAAACTTGGTCATTTATCTTCAGCCGTCAAGTCAAATATGAGGTATTTTAGTGTTAATTTTGACCAATCAATGTCTCTTAAAGGCCACTCAAAAACATCGGTCTGAAACAGTTTTTATCACTTAAGAAATATCTCCAAACTCTGAAGGTTGAACTGAACTGTTAAAGCCTGAGGCTCCAACCTGAGCCCTGAGGTCCACACACCAGAACCCTCTAGAAGTTCCAAAGGCACCACCTAGTGGCTGACAAGCATATCACACTCCTTCTGTTTTTTTTTAAGATGGCAACTTCACATTTCTGTTTATAACTGTGCTTCTGTAGCCCACAAACGGAGCTAAAACACGTTGTTTTACGAGTATTACTCTCATGTCACCTTGTGTTCTCATACATTTATATTTTAGAGACTTTCTTGTCCGTGAAAAGTTCATCAGCTGAAGTACTCCTTAAATTTGAAGCAAGTAAGCGGTAGTCTAACGCTATTGGTTAGTTCTGGTCGGCGCTCAGTTTCCTATTGCACGGAGCTCTGCGGGGCGGGGGGCGTGCTTAGCACAAAAAAAAAAGACATTGCTTACATTATATCACAGTACATGATAAGATAATCACTTTTACGGTTTTCTGACAAATCATACATAATTTCTGAAAGAGGAAAACTCCGGAAAGCTGCTTTAAAGGGACATGAACGTTGCCAACCTACACACATCTTTTAATTTTTTTTAAATTTATTGACATGGGAAAAATTATCTCGATAAGAGTCACAAATTTCGATAACGATTCATTTTTGATTTATCGCCCAGCCCTATCCAAGGGCGCCCCCAAGGGGTGGGCCAGGGGTGGCCATGGCCACCCCTAGAAAATTGCTGCCCCCCAAGGAAAAGCCAGTGTTAACAAATCATATTAATGTTCAGTCAAACCATATATTGATCTTGTTCATTCAAGACATAATTATAAAACAATATAAAAATATTACAATTAATGAGTAAAGAAATAATCGGAATTAAAAAAATACACATGTTTCTGCTGCTCACCATTTAAAAAAAGTTTTTATCTCCATAGTTATTTTTAACACAGCAAGAGGTGAATTTACCCAAAAAATAAACATTTTTAAATTTTATCATGGATAACATTTTAAATAACTGAAATATACATTTCTGAAATGTTTGTGTTTGTGAAATTTATACGTACTGTTATTTTAATAAAAACGAATAAAGGCAGTACATTGCCACAGGCTAAATTCTCCCAGCGTTACCACAAGGACCAATTTGGTGTGTCACCCCAAAAATGTCTTTGGCCACCCCATCAAAATTTTCTGGAGGCGCCCCTGGCCCTATCCCAGACTAAATTAAAACAAAGTAAATCAAATATATTACTTACAGACATGTTTAACTGTGTTGTATATAGACTCATATTTAGTAGTTTTTGAGTCAGTACTTTCATTTACAAATGGCTGTAATCTAACTTTTAGGCACCTTTTAGGAATAATCTCAGATTTTACACAAAATAAAACACATCCTGATGTAAAATGTGTGGCTGCTAAATAAAAAGCAGCTGAGAGTAATATAACATCATCACAAATATATCCAATTAGCTCCGATAAAGCTACTTTATAATAGAACTCTAACTGTAACGTCTCCTCGCTTTCTTATTGGAGCACATGTGTGTCAATCAAGCTACTGCCCGCCCGTCTACTTCCGCAATGTTACAAAATAAAAATAAATAGAAAATAGTTGGATTTCAGCGTTGAAACCGAAGCAGCGATAGAAGCGACATCCTTCAGGTTTAGTTACTGAGTCTAAACAAAGCATTTAATGCATATTTTAACGGTTCCTGAAGCAGTTTTGTGATTTACTGACTGTCTCTGACAGAAAGACGCTAACCGCGTTAGCATCACGTTTGGTTCAAAAATCGAACTCAACCGAAAAACTTAAAATATTTTAGTTACAGGAGAGAATGTCGGAAAAAGTGCGACCACCTACTGTTTGACTCCTGGGTCCAAAGGCTGGAACGGTGACGAGTTGCGTTCAAGGACAACGCAAAACGCAAACACACACCGGAACTGTGCTGCCTTAACTTGCTGCCCACTCAGTTGGAATTCGGAGAACTAACCATTAGTTTGTAGTTTTTATACTTTCTGTTCTCGTTTTTCATTTTTTTTAAACTTATAGTTAAAAAAAATTACATTTATTCATATATATTGGTCTAACAAGGCTGACTTTTTTCCTGGATAATTTTAAAATGAGCATTTCTACAGAATACAGATACAAAAATGCTCAAATACCCCTAAACGATTCCAAATGACAACACAGAGCATCTATTTCTGTTAACATTTTAATGAAAGCATGTACAAAATGAAGTTAAAAGAAGCTGTAACAATAACTTCCAAACTCAGGGATGAAGAATCTCATCTCACACGAATCTCAGTGAAAACCCAACATAGATATTTGAACTCATCGTTATTATGAAACTTTAAATGTTTGTTGTAGTAAAACTCCGGCACTGAATAACACAGAAGCTAATAAATACACAGCTTGTTGTTAAGGAGATATAATCTGAATTAGTTTATTAATGAGATAAATAAATAAAACCATTCACAGATTCAGAAAGTCTGATGAAATCTCTGTTCTTGTGCGGATGACCTGTGTGTGTGTGTGTGTGTGTGTGTGTGTGTGTGTGTGTGTGTGTGTGTGTGTGTGTGTGTGTGTGTGTGTGTGTGTGTTATGAGTAGAAGGTGAGGACACTCTGGTGGTTTCCCCGGACCAGCAGCAGCGGTGGGAGGTCTTTGGACAGCGTCTCCAGCCAGCACATGTACAGCGCACTCGACACGGTGCCCTTCCTGGCCAAAGGCATGCTTCTGCTCACAGAAAGAGAAGATTATTGTCAGGTTTTTTTACTTCCTTTCTTCACACAGAGAATCTCAGCTACATTGGAAAATATATGTGGTTCCAAACATGCCCAAAATGTTAAACATGCTCTTGTTGTCACTTTGTCCAAACGTATGAACCAGTGGTTCTCCCCCCTGGTCCTGAGTTTCAACCCTGCTTCAACACACCTGATTTCCATCTGCAGGTGATTAACAGGCTTCTGCAGAGCCTGATGAGCTGCTGCACAGGAGATTCAGCTGCTGAATCTAGTGTGCTGGAGCAAAGAACTAAAACATGCTGGACACCGGCCCTCCAGGACCAGGATTGAGAACTATGGCAGGGGCGGCGTTAGGCCCGGCCACTTGGGCTGGAGCCCCGGATGTTTCATGGAAAGCCCAGGATCTAAATCGCAGAAGTAACATGCAGTACCAAAGTCCAACAGAGAGGGAGCAGCTGGCAGTAGTTTGTATACAGCCTGCCTGAGCCTCCACCACTGAAGAAGAAGCCCTTCAGCAGCCGGCTTCTTCTACACTCTCTGCCTGAAACGCATGAGTGAAGATGGACATGAGGACGTTTTTTAGACCAAAAGTACAACGACAGAACCCCAGCTTTGATGAGATTGGTGCTGACTCAGGTTTGTGAGTCTTATTTGAAAATATTTGTTGTGCTGCTGGTTTGCCTAAAGTTAGCTTACTATCAGGTAAAGTTGTTGGAGAAAGAAAGGGAATATTTACTATCATCTCACACTAAACACTAACAGGAACAATACTCTGCCCTGAATATGCTTCATATGTAGCTTCAGATTAAAAATTATGTGGTACAAGACATGTATGATGTTGACTAGTGCGTGTCATGTGTGTGTGTGTGTGTGTCACGTGTGCGCGCGCGCGCGTTAAGCCCCGGATCTTCTTCAGTCCTAAATCCGCCCCTAAACTATGGTGAATTTTTTTGGCTCATTTGGAACCCCATACTGAAACTGGAGCGGAAGAGCTGCAGATCAGCAGATCCGTTTTTTTAAAGCCTCGTCTTGTCAGTGAAACAAGATGGAACTAAAGGTTTTGCACAAGAAGTCAGATAAAAAATCCTCCTGCGAACCAGGAGAAGAAAGTCCTCACATGACGATCAGTTTGGCGGAGTTGGAGTGTTCCTTCAGCAGTTCATTCAGCCTGATCTGACGGTTTGTCTGGGGGTGAATACGAAGAAAATCACCTTTAACGTAAATATTCGCAGAGTTCTAGATGAATGTGTGTGCAGAACTAGGGAGAACCTTGGCCTTGTAGAGCTCCAGTTCATTATCGGTGATCCTCCAGGGCTCCTGAGCCTTCAGCCTCTCGGCAGCCTCCTGCTCCATGTCGTCCTCCTTCAGCCTGTAGGGCTCGATCAGCTCCTTAAAACTCAGCTTACTGGCAGACAGAACCAAAGTCAGCCCTGAGAAGAGTTTCGAAAAGGAATTCTACGAATAAACCCGCTGTGACCGCTCAGGGAGGGGCTTACTTGTGTTTTTTTGGTTTCACGTTGATGTCACCGAGGACGTTGATGTCAGAGAAGTCAATTCTGAACCTGCTGAGCAACGTGGCCATCCTGACGGGACACAAGAAGACATCCTCCAGATGTGAGCTTCAGATTTGCCCCTGACTGATGGATTACAGATGTGGACTCACGCTCGGCGGTCGTGGTCAATCCGATTGATCTTTCCTCCAATAAAGACTCGGATCCTGCAGTCGCCCCATTTGCTCCGGGTGGTCAGCAGGTAGGGAATCAGCAGGGTCAGACCTGCAGACATGGGTGTCGATGCAAGATGATCATTTTAGTGTTTTTGTCTTCGTGCTGCTGCTGGTTGGTCGTTCGTTTCTGGGAATCATTTCTTTACTCAGAAAACAGAAAAGCATGGCTACTGTGGCGCGGTATGGGGGCCAAAATTAAGACTACTGCCCAGCAGCAGGAGGCTATATAAATTCTGAAGCAAACTACCAACCTGATTATTGATAAGCTGGCACCGGTAACTGAGAGGCTGGCGCTGCTTACTGAGAAATAGCACCTTTACCGGCGTTATTACTAGATACGCTAGGGACTAGCAGCCCTCGGCTGGTCATTGACTGGTTCACACACTCCCTCTGCTTTCTACTAGCATGGATAGGCTAGTGTTAGCCTGGACAGGCTGGTGTTAGCATTGGAGAGGCTAGCCATTAGCGTGCCCAGGCTGGCCACTTGCTGGATTTCCTACCTCCTCGACAGACCATTAGCATGGATAGGCTGGCATTAGCATCGGAGAGGCTAGCCATTAGCATGTCTCGGAGAGTCACTAGTCAGCTAGTGGCCAGCCTAGGCACGCTAATGGCTAGCCTCTCCAATGCTAACACCAGCCCGTCCATGCTAATAGTCCGTCAAGGAGGTAGGAAATCCAGCTATGGCATGCCTAGGCACGCTAATGGCTAGCCTCTCCAACGCTAACACCAGCCCGTCCCGGCTAACGCTAGCCTATCCTAATAGACAGCAGAGGGAGTGTGTGAACCAGTCAAGACCAGCCGAGGGCTGCTAGTCCCTAGCATATCTAGTAATAACGCCGGTGAAGGTGCTATTCCTCAGTAAGCAGCGCCAGCCTCTCAGTTACCGGCGCCAGCTTATCATTAATCGGGTCAGTAGTTTGCTTCAGAATTTATATAGCCTCCTGCTGCTGGGCAGTAGTCTTAATTTTGGCCCCCACACCGCGCCATAGGCTACACGCCCACAGAGCCACAGAAGTTTTAAGCTTTTAGATGAATTTTCTAACTCACCAGAGAAAAGATCCACTCACATTTTATGTTTAATACATTTTCAGTTCATTTACCGTAAACTACATAATAAAAAAATTAGTTCTGAAGCACGTTTGATTATAAACTTCAGCTGGAAATCATTTATAAATTCATAAAGTTTGTATAGCTTAATAAGATATCTTTAATGATAGTAGATGCTCTAAATATTATGTTTGTAGTTTTATTTGATCATTTGCTGTGAGGAAGATTAGGTTCAAATTTGTTAATAATTTAATAATAATATGTCAATATTAATAATGATAAAAAGTGTAATATAAAATATATAAAACAGTCAAATCGTGGGTTAAAATCAGAATTTAAATGCTCAAAATTCACATTTCCCTTTGTTTATGGCAACAATGAGATCATTTTTTGCTAATTTCACTGTTATTTATTCCACTCATCTGTCGCTTCAGTTTTAACCTGCAGATAAAAGAGAAAATCTGCTCACCTGGTTGAGTTTTATTGAGTAAAATCGATCGTAACTGACCTCCGTCATCAAAGAGCCACCACACGTCGATGGTTCCTTTTCCCTGCTTCTTCTTGAACATCTGGCTGCTCTCTAGGAGCCGCTGGTCCGTCAGGCTCAGAGGAGATTTGGTTTCTGTAGCTGAAGCACAGAAACTCTCCTTAAGTCACCTGACGCCTAATTAAACAGGATGAAAGGTGTCAGCATCATCACCTCTGATGATGAGCGGGCTGCTCTGGTTACTGGTGGTTTTTGAAGGACAGGAGTCGGAGTCGGAGTCTTTAGTGACGGAAATCAGGACGTCTTTGCTGCCTTTTGACGTCTTCTCGCTGGGCGACAGCAGCTCGTCTGCAGAAAAATGTTCCTTTAATTCTGTCATTTTAAAATTTAATTCCTCTTGGAACTAGAAAACCACTAAGTGACAACCCAAATACGGAACGAGGAGAGGAAGTGGTTCTCCTTGAGTTTAAAGAGCAAGTCACCCCAAATCAACATTTTTTTTTTGCTGATAAAGTATATAAATGAGTGTCTGATTGTGTTGTTGGCAAATGTAGTCAATAATTCGGCATTTTAGTTCTTCTTAGTTAAAATTTAAATTTTCTGCCTAAAACTGTCAGTGTTGTGCCGTTGTCAGGTAAAAACTCTGCACAGCATTTGAATTTAAATCTGCCATCGCTATTGGCTAAGAGGTGCACTATGATGTTAGATGGTACATTATGATGTCACAATGTCGTGAGTGTGTGTATTTGTTAGTGGCTCCGCCCTCTTGGTCTGCTAGGCAACAGTGTTTGTTGCATTTTTCAAACAGGAAGTGGGAGTTTAGTAAGAATCTGGTAGGGGGTGACTTGCTCTTTAAAGATTTGATGCATAAAGACGGTCAGAAACGCTCACTTTGTCCCTGGATGTGAGAGATGTCCAGTCCATCCTGAAGTCTGAGGACCACCGCTCCAAACTGGAGGTCAAAGGCGTCGCTGCAGCGTAAAAAATTCATTAAAAATAAATAAAATCTCTGTGAGAATTACATTTATTCTTATATATTAAACATGTCTGTGACAAAAAATAAAAACGGGTTTATTTTATCAAAGTCTATTAAATAAAAAAAGATTTCGCATTTATTTAATAACACTTTAACTTCCTCATTAAAATAAATTACTCTTTTTTTGTGCATTTTCTATTAATTTGGTGCAATTTACGACTTTTATCTATTTTTAGTTAAAGGATTAAAGGGACTTTACGGAGTTTTGAATTTTTATGCTCGTGATCGCCCCTCAGGCCAAAAGCGTAACGGCAGCTTCAATAGTAGGCTCGTGCACGAGGCGCACATGCTGTACGTGCACACTCCTTAACGAAAATAACAGCTGAGACAGTCCCTTGTGTGTGTGTGTGTGTGTGTGTGTGTGTGTGTGTGTGTGTGTGTGTGTGTGTGTGTGTGTGTATGTGTGTGTGTGTGTGTGTGTGTGTGTGTGTGTGTGTGTGTGTGTGTGGCCCGGAGGACAGAGGACAGGAGAACGTGCAGCTAATTAATTAAATAATTTGGTTCTGTACCTTTCTCTTCAGCACAGCCGACAAAGGTTTATGATGGGCCAGTCCTCCTGCATGCTCAGATCATTCCCTTCCCTTGCTTGAAAAATTGTTCCAAAATGAAAGTTGAACCCACATCTTTTTTATCTGTGAATTCAATGCCGTTCGGCGAGTCTCAAATAAAAATTTGGGCATCTTACTGTAAAAAAATATACCATTAATGTAAAAAATAAACTCTAAATGAACTATGTTCACATCCAGAATCAAACCCAGGACTTCTGCATGGGAGTCAGACATCTTACTAGGTGAGCTAAAGCACCAGTGACATCTATTGTATCTGTAACATTTATATCCTTGATGACAGCTGAAACAACGTTCAGAGAACGGTTCGGAGTGAAAATGGCTATTTTGTTGCTAATTAGCAGGAAATATCTAGAAGAAAGTTCTACAGAAAGTAGCTAAGGGTCCTCAGAAATGTAGCCAGCTTTGTCACTAGGCGTTAGGAACAGCGACAAAGTGGCACTGCCTCTCTCTCTGCTGCTAAAGCTACGGATAGCAAATGCTACGGGCGATGCCTGAGCGTGAACGCGCATGAAGCAGCCTGCTCGACCCGAGCATCTCTCTTTTTCTGTGATTTTACAGAAAAACAGGCAATCACAGTAAAACTGCCAGGGCTCATTCTACAGGACCAGGGCATTGCAGGAGAATGTATGAAGAAGACATTTATTATTTCTATACATGTTTTGGCCGTCAGACTTCCATAATGTCCCTTTAAAGTGTGGCCAGGATTAAAAACACATCAAATCCATAACATTAGATTATAAAGAGTTTTAATGAGCATTTTAGCCGTGACTTCTCAGGTTAGGGTCACAAACACGCTTTTACTGTATGCTGTTGATGTAGTTCTCCACATCTCTCATATCTCCATCACCCCAGTTGTTCTTGAAGCCCATGACCAGCGTGTTGGGCTTCAGTCGACCCAAACCAACTGCCTGGAGAAGACATAAAAACCATGAAGGAGCTTTTTTTTTTTAGTTTTAAACAAGGCTGGGGGAAGTAATGTGGTGATTTGAAAGGAGAAGCTTTTTAACACCTGCAGGAGTAACTGTGCTCCGTGTCTCAGGTTGTCTGCAAAAACAGGAGCGTAAAAGGCCTTGATTCGTTTTTTACTGAGCCAGCGCCGACAGCGGACGTAATCCTGGGACAGATCCTTAAAGTTTGGTCGACGGGACACCTGGAAAACCCAAAAACCCGTCAGAGTCAGGAGGTGACGGAGGGAGCCACCGGGACGTCGCAGCCCGTACCGTCCTGACGTGACCGCACACCATGAGGCTGACGTCTTTAGTGAAGGAATGGACCAGCTGCAGCAGAGCTGGACGGGCGTTGGGATAACCGGCCAGAACCAAACACTGCGGCCTGGGAGAGGGAAGGCGATCCAGTCAGATCAACAAGTTCAAACGTGGCTTCAGCTTCTGTCCCATGAAAAGGAATTTATAGAAAATATTCAAACTTTTATCCAAAAACAACTCATTTAAAGGCCAAAACTTTGATTTTATTTTCATCATGTAAAACATCCTTCAGTCCGCACCATCGGTGGCACTAAAGGATTTCATATCCCAAAGTTAGACTCGGGGGGGCCACTAGGGGCCACTGAACAGCATCTCCAGACAGTGGCGTGTCCAGATCTTTTAAAGTGGGGTGGCCCAGGTGAGGCACTACTTTGTGCATATGTGGCACCAGTGGTTATGCTTTTTTGTTTTACCTCAAGCCTTTTGTGGACAATGAAAAGCCTATTTAAAGGGAATTCAGTGTGGTGACACATGAGGTGGCCAATCAGATTCCAAGGGTGGCATGTGCTACCCCAGGCCACTCCCTGGACACGCCCCTGTCTCCAGAGAAATGCTAAAATAATTCCTAATATCAGATGTTTATCGATCCATTTGTTCAGGAATGGATTACATGGGTTGGAGATTTTTGTGTTTTCATAATATTCTCATTTATTTGGCTTTTTAACAGATTTCTTAGACCCAAAGCGAGGCTGAATCTAAATGTCCCACCGATGCGTCGGGTCTAACTGTGCTCCTACAGCAGCCTGCGGCTTTCCAACCGTCCTAAAGTTTTCTCTAGGTGTTTTGAGACCTGAAGTTTTTGACGTGATCCTCGACTCCAGACAGATTCAGACAGTGGGTCAGAGCCTGGTTGTAGATCAGAGCCTGAGTGGAAGAACCCCAGTTCACATCTGCAAACCAAACCAACGGGAGGATGATTATGTTGTTAGAAGAGAATCGTCGGATGTTAGAAACATTGTCATCAATATTTCAGCTGCGGCAGAGCCAGGATTAGGGTTGGGCATCGTTTGATTTTGAACGATTCCGATTCGGATTCCTCGTTTCGATTCCGGTTCCTATCGATTCCCGATTCCGATTCTTTCAAGACATGACATGTTTTACACGAGCCAGCTAACCACAGGTCCTACTTGATGAAATAATCTAACTTCAACATGAATTTTAACTCTATGAACAACAACGTGCACCTTCATTTAGACAAAAACGTGTTTTGGAGACAAAAAGAAAAAGACTTGCAGCACAACCAGTGTGTTTGTTTCTGACCACAACCAAAGTGTGGAAGAAGCCTCTGGGATGAGAGGCTAAAAGTCTCCAACACATCCAGAAACGTCCAGCTGTGTTCAGCTGAAACTCACACACACAGCTGGTGTGATCGGCTCTGAAAAGCGTTGATCACAGTTTGCAGATCACGTTTATTTTTCACGGAGATCGGCCGCGGATTCCTCTTCCGGTCGGCGTACTAGGAATCGAAATAAACTTTGAACGATTCCGGGAAAAACTAACAGTTGGTCCCGGTTCCAATCGATGCTCGATGCCCAACCCTAGCTCAGGATTGTCCTGAAACGATGAAGTCAGATGTTTCTGCAGGTTCAGCTGAGAGTAAAGTTTATATTCCTGAAGTTTTTCCTCCTCGCCGCTCTGGTCTGTGCTCACCCGGCTTCTTATAGCCGACGTAGATGTAGAGCGCCAGGACGATGAGCAGCGTGACGAGGGCGGCCCACCAGTTAATGACAAACATCACCACGCAGCACAGGACAGAGCCCGCCAGAGACACCCACATGTTGTAGTACTTAAAGCTGGGGCGCCACCCTGTAGAGGCAGAATAGATAGATAGATAATAGATAGATGATGATAGATAATAGATAGGTAATAGATGATAGATAATAGATAGAAGATGATAGATAATAGATAGGTAATAGATGATAGATGATAGATAGATAATAGATGATAGATAATAGACAGATAATTGATTGATGATGATAGATAATATATAGGTAATAGATGATAGATAATAGATAGATAATAGATAGATAATACATAATAGATAGGTAATAGATAATAGATAGGTAATAGATAATAGATAGGTAATAGATGATAGATAATAGATAGATGATAGATAATAGATAGATAATAGATAATAGATGATAGATAGATAATAGATGATAGATAATAGATAGATAATAGATAGATAATTGATAGATAATAGATAATGGATAGATAATTGATAGATGATGATAGATAATATATAGGTAATAGATGATAGATAATAGATAGATGATAGATAATAGATAGATAATAGATAATAGATGATAGATAGATAATAGATGATAGATAATAGATAGATAATAGATAGATAATAGATAATAGATAGTTAATAGATAATAGATAGGTAATAGATGATAGATAATAGATAGATGATAGATAATAGATAGATAATAGATAATAGATGATAGATAGATAATATATGATAGATAATAGATAGATAATATATGATAGATAATAGATAGATAATAGATAATAGATAGATAATAGATAGATGATGATAGATAATATATAGGTAATAGATGATAGATAATAGATAGATAATAGATGATAGATAGATAATAGATAGATAATTGATAGATGATGATAGATAATATATAGGTAATAGATGATAGATAATAGATAGATGATAGATAATAGATAGATAATAGATAATAGATGATAGATAGATAATAGATGATAGATAATAGATAGATAATAGATAGATAATAGATAATAGATAGGTAATAGATAATAGATAGGTAATAGATGATAGATAATAGATAGATGATAGATAATAGATAGATAATAGATAATAGATGATAGATAGATAATAGATGATAGATAATAGATAGATAATAGATAATAGATAGATAATAGATAGATAATGGATAGATAATAGATAATGGATAGATAATAGATAACAGATAGATAATGGATAGATAATAGATAATAGATAGATAATGGATAGATAATAGATAATAGATAGATAATGGATAGATAATTGATAGATAATGTATTGATAATAGATACTAGATAGATAATGGATAGATAATAGATAATGGATAGATAATAGATAATAGATAGATAATGGATAGATAATAGATAGATAATGGATAGATAATAGATAATAGATAATTTTGTATTTTAACATTTCCATATTTATTTCAGAGTTTTTCTCTGTTTAGGAGATTTTTTTCTGTTAATTTAATAAAAAGCTGCGATGAGAAACAGGAACTAAAATGCCAATAAAGGGTTAAATAAGATTTATGGAATTGCTGGAAAAGAAAAGAGGTTTTCATCCCATTTTAACCGCTTTTACTTGCCTAAAGTATTAATCTTAAACTAAAGCTGAAGCAACACTACGCACACACAATGTAACGACTATTACCTGTTTTTAATAGAACATAATAAAAAATTTAACAAACAAAATCCCGCTACATGAGAAAAGCACCTACGGATCAGACGACCTTTGACCTTTACCTGGAGAGTTGGCCAGAGAGGCGTGGAAGACAGAGAAGTTGATGAGAGCGTAGGACGCCAGGAAGAAGTTAGAGATGATGGGAGCGATGATGTTCAGCTCAGCTGGTCGGACAGAAGCGGAGTCTCAGCGGTCGTATCTGATCGTTTCGGTTTCTCTCGGATGGATTCTTACCGATGAGGATGAAGGCGAGGCCGATGCAGAAGGTCAGGACATAGCCGCGGAGAGGCTCGTTGTTTTTACCGTATCCTTTAGCAAATACACCCAACCCTGGATAGATGTTGTCCTTACACAGGGCCTGCAATTGTTATCAATCAATCAATCAATCAATCAGATTTATTTATAAAGCGCTTTTCAAACAAAGTGCTTTACAAAATGACCCCAGATTCCCATAACAGGTTAAAAACATTAACAGACATATGCAAGCACACACACACGCATGCATGCACACGCGCATACACACACACACACGCACACACACACACATCCACAAGTAATAATTATATTAGGCTGAGTCCAGATGAGCCAAGTAAGGTAAGGCAAGGAAACGCCATCAGAGGAGCCGTCTGCCCCGGCAGCATCAGGTCTTCCACACTAAGTCAGGGCGCTCAGTGGAGAGGGAGCATAGACCCCCACCTATAGAGCGCCCAGGAAGCTACAGTTGACCACCCTCCCGGGGCAGAGGGCCCCTACAGAGGAAACACTGGATTAAAATGAGTACAAATACAATAAAAGAGCTAATATAAGGGACAAAAGTTAGAAAATAAGTAATAAATTAAATTGTTTAGACAGTAAAATAATAATATTATATAATGAAACAATGCTAAAATATAATCATATAAAACATGCAAAGCAAGCAATAAAATATAATCATGTAAAACAAGAAATAAAACTGTAGTAAATATTTAGATAAAAGTTATTATTCTACTTATTAGTGATAAATACACTAAACATCCTGTTAAATGTCTTTCTGCCTAAAAGAGTTCCAATAATCCCGCCGAATCACCCGAAAGATAAACAAAAAGTAGGTTTTTCTGACCTGGAAAACTTTGGGAGCGCTGACCAGCGAAGCCAGAGCCGAGGACAGAGTGGCGGAGAAGATCCCGGCGCTGATCAGAGGGCTGAAGAAGGACACGAGGCTCATCACCTAGGCAACACACAGAGACGCTTTTAGAAGCTCCGGCAGACGTTTCTGGTACGATTAAGATGGATGGACTTACAGCAGAGGACCCGTGAACCTATGCTGACAGAAATGTGTCGTTTTGTCCACATTGACAGGTTTTTATTCAGAAAGAACTAAAAGAACAGATCAGATCTCCAGATTTATTCTTTTACGCCACGTGTCAGACACAAGGCCAGCGGGAGATTCAAGTGTCTTAAAATAAGTCTGCCGCTTCAAAGCGCACATTGGGTATAAATTACTTTTCCCATAATGCATGGCGATTGTGTTCCCAGTGCAGTGACTTGCCGCTAGGTCGCAGTGTATCCACTTCCGTGTTTAATTAATGCAACAAGTGAAAATAACTCCACACTAGGGGTTGTACGAACTAGTCGACTAGTCGACTTCACGGCTCTGTAGTGACTTTTTATGCCTGTCATCAACTAGTCGCTGTCACGTGATAATGACTGACAAGATGCAGTCCTCGGAAAAGACAGCAGGTGATGAGCCCCTGCGCGTCTGGATCGAGGCGGAGGCGACGCGCTGTGCGGTACTGACACCGGCGGTAAAACGGATATTTAACCAAACTGTGACATTTTCCCTCTTGCAATTTAACCTTCCCCTCACCCCCATCCTAATCTTAACCAGTTTGTGCATGCAAAGCTCTGATCGTTGACGTGCGCTCCAGACATTGCGTCCTGAGCACCGCCAAATCAGGTGTCACCACCTCAAAAACAAATTAAACACGCGATTGTTCATGTCGGCTCATTTCCTTTCATGTTTTCTGTCTGTTATTTGTGCCTGATGCATTTCGCTGCTGCGGAGCGAGGCTCTTCACCTGTTGTCCTCCGGTGACACACCCCCAAGATTCCATTATCTCCACTCCGCTCCGCTCCGGCACGAACTCCGCAGCAAAAACGGTCCCGTTGTAGTCGGCCGGCAAGCAGCGGCACTCCGCTGTTTTTGCGGTCGGTAGATCTTTTAGAACTGCAGTTCAAAGGTAACTCATGAGGTGAATATATATGAACGCAGGTAGCGGTTTTTCTTTAGGACTGAGAGGAGATGCAGGAAGATAATAAACAGACAGGATAGAAAAATAGTCAAATAAAAACAAGTTCGTTTTTGTACCTGGTGGTTGCAACAAACAGACACCATTGAAGGTAATCAGAAGTGAGGAACAGAAAATGAAATAATTATTTTAATGTTTAGAGCAGCAGGAAAGGCTGCAGGCGCATCAGTGAGTTTGCGGCTGCTGCGCCGTGGGAGAGGACTGAAGTAGGATGCAGAAACTACCGTTATTAAAAGAGATGTGTTAACTTAGAAAATGTGAGCGCAATTTTAATTGTCAAAAACTCCAGCGAACCTACCGACCGACCCCCCGCCTCCCCCCGCTTCCGGCGTATGACGTAATCAACGACTAGTCGAAGTCGACTCGACTTTCATTACTCTACTGTCGACTTTAAAAAAAATAAAGTCGTGCAGGCCCTACTCCACACATCGTCCCAACGTGTCCAGGAAGAGAAGGATCGATGCAGAAGGAAGGTGTTTCAACAAAGATGGAACATGTTGATGCTTCAAGGAGAAAACCCAGTCATGGTTACCGTCATTAGCGTCCGTGCTACTAGCATCAGCGTCTGCAGCGCTGCCTCCTCTGCCTCGGACAACCTGAGAACACTCCTCTTACTCAGCGCAGAGTTTACTCAGAAATTAGCCGACTTTGAAGCCCAGAAATGGATTTTAACAGCTCAGTGATGTTTGCTGCTGACATAGAAAGCGCACCGACCAACTTCCAGACCGAGATGATTTAACTCCAGTTTAGCGACATGCTCAAGTCACATGAATCTGTGGCTGCTGCGGCTTTTATCCTCCTCCCCGACACAACTGCGTGGTCCAGATGCTCTCCACGTCCAGCAGCACAAACCTGTGTGAGCAACTGTTTCTCACTGATGAACTCCTTCCTCAGCTCAGAGCCCGACCCCACAGATGCAGGTGTGGCTGGAACAGGTGAGCATCACAGGAAATCAGAGTGGAGAAAACTGGGATTGAATCATTTTGCTTTTATTCACCTTTTCTGCTCCAAAGCGTGAAAGTTAATAGGTGAGATATTGCATTTTCATTTGAGAGAATTACTATGTTTATTTATGTTGTTGGCATGTGAAAAAAGATTTCACCTACTTTAAAACAGGACTGATTACAGACAGAAGAATAGAAATAAAATAAAAAATTCCTTTATTGTTCCTCAGTGGGGAAAGCTGTCACAATCTGCTCCTGCCTCCCTGACTGTGTCTCTCCCCTGCCCTTGATTAGTCCCTACTGGTTTCACCTGCCCATGTGTTCCTGATTGTTTCCTTGAGTATTTACACCTCCCGTCTTGTTTGAGTCTTTGTCGGATCATTGTTTGTTGTCAGCGTTGTTTTGTTCTGTCGTTCCCGCTCTGCTATTAAATCCACTTTTATTTTATCCGTGCCTGCATTCCTGCCTCCTGATCTGCTCCACCACACATGGTCCGCCGTCATCCACACCCGCAACGTGACAAAATGATCCGACCAACCTGGACCAGTGGTGAGCTACTGGTGTCAAGCCAGCCTCCAGTTTGTTTTCTGTTCCCCGTCTATTCAAATTATTACGGGAATGGATGTGGAAACCGGATTTCAAAATAAAATTCAACTTCGAGTGAATTATCAGATATTTTAAGAACATAATAAATAATTTAGGCTTGTTCACTATTAGCGCCCTGTCAAGATCAAGGCAATCTTATTTTGGATTTCAAAGTAAAAGCCCTGTGAACTTTCATTTTTGAACCACTCTTTAAATGACTTCAGAATGCTCTTAAAAGCAAAAGTCATATTTCCAAAGAGCAGTTGCATTTTGTATCAACACTATCAAACCACAGCAATTTGAAATTGCCCATATTTGACCGACACTTTTAACGATTTCAAAATGCTCTAAAATGGAAAATTGCTGTTTTCACCAGGTAATTCCACTTTAGATCAACGGTATACAACCCCACAGTGATACTGTATCAATATCAAGTTATTCTAATTTTGCTTTCAAAAATAAAAGCCCTTTCAAACTGTCCATAATTGACCTACCTTTAACGATTTCAAAATGCTCTAAAGTAGAAAATTGCTGTTTCCACAGGGTAATTCCACTTTAGATCAACAGTATACAACCCCACAGTGATACTGTATCAATATCAAGTCATTCTGATGTTGCCTTCCAAAATAAAGGCCGTTCAAATAGTCCATCTACGACCAAAGTTTCAGTGATTTCAAAATGCTCTAAAATTGAAAATTGCTGTTTCCACAGGGTAATTCCACTTTAGATCAACAGTATACAACCAGTGATACCACTGATGTGTGCTTTATTTAAAATGGACTTGCTCATGTGTAATTTCGCTTATTCCACATTCAGTGTTGCGGCAAAAAGAAGTTTATTTCCAAATGAAAAGGTTCAACCATTCATATCTGCAGATAAAGGAAAATGTGCACATTTGCCGTCACTTTTTAAAAAATATTGAGTTTGGCCCGCGACCCCGTTCCAGTTTTTCTTTTTGGTCCAGTGTAAATTTGAGTTCAACACTCCTGATCTATGCGTGCGTGCATGTGTGTGTGTGCATGTCTGTGTGTTTGGTGGAGGACAACCTCAGTGATATCAGTGTCAGTGAGCGGGACGGGAACGTAGGTGGGAACACCGTCAATGCTCTCATTCAGATCCGAGCAGTGGGAATCTTGTGACTTGGAACAACAGACGCTATTATTTCTGCTGCTGTTGGGACGTCTCAGTCCCTCACACACACACACACACACACACACACACACTGAAAGGATCTGCATCACATCCTCCTTGAGAGGAGCAGCAACCAGGTTTGTTGGATCCAATAAAAGCTTTTAAATGAACGAGTAATCCATCGTTTCGTCCGCCTGCAGACCAGGGTCAGGGTCAGGGTTAGGGTGGGTCAGATTCTGAGTCTGATGGGAAAACAGGACAGAGTTGTATCCTGACACGGCATCACTGGCAGTGTGGAGAAGTCTGGAGGAAACAATAGCTGTGGGTGTGTGACGGACGTCACTCTTCGCCGGGGTGAACCGGCCTTTATGCAGCACCACATTCCAGAACTTTTCTCAAGGCTTTAAGTCAAAGATGCGCGTTTATTTTGAATGATTATAGATTTCACAGCAAATTTTTTATTTATACGTAAGTTTTATAGGGTAAGTGACCACAGTGGATCACTTGTTTTAAGTCTTGAATTTCAGACTGAATTGAAAACCTTTTATTTAAAGAAAATTTGAAAAAGGTTCAAAGTAATGTGTCAATAAAACAAATTGATGTTTCCAAGTATTCCAGTGAGTTCCCTTTGAAGGATCAAGAGGAATCAGAGTCAACCTGTAGCTCTGGAGCTTTGACCCATCACCATGGAAACTATCTACGTCTATAACCAGAATATAAAGTCCAGTTTCAGCTGCTTTCCTGACTGATTCATGCAAACATGTCAGACAGAATGATACTAACAGGAAACAGATTAATGCTCTAAAAGTTTAATAATTGAACTTCCAACTGGACTTTCCATGTTTTTTACTGAAATCCACCATTAAAATGAAATAAAGCTGTCCAGGTAACTGAATAAAAAGGCACATGTAGCGATGGGTACCGAATTCGGTACTTTTTACGGTACCGACCGAATTCCATAGTACCGACTGATCACCGATTCACGTCATTTGAAACGGTGCCTCGCTTCGGTACCCGTCCTTCATAACGAGAACTTGCCTAGACAGCTGCGCATGCGCAAGAGCGTTATGTCGTCGGTCGCTGCGAGCCAGTTGTAAACAGAGCAGCATGGTAGAAAGAACGCACGCTAAAGTTTGGGTCCACTTCACTAAATGTGATGGGTAACTGGGTGATGATGAAACCAGCGACAATGATCTAAGTGAGACATCCTCATCTTAATCTGCTCCGGTAGGTAAATAAACTGTTTAAGATAACGTTAGCTTGATATGTTAGCTTCCGTTTCGCTAATGGTGCGTTCGCTTTCTCCTCGGAACTCTGAATATCCGACTAGAAGAACGCGAACGCGCTCTAAAGTTTGGCTTCACTTTACTAAATGCGACGGGTGATTGGGTGAAGATGAAACCAGTGACAACGATCTAAGTGTGAGGCATCATCGTTTTAATCTGCTCCAGCAGCTAAATAAACTGTTTAAGATAACGTCAGCTTGATATGTTAGCTTCCATTGCCACCATTGTTATCAGCTAATGGTGCATTCACTTTCTCCTCGGAAATTCTAACTTCCCAGTAGGAAAGATCAAAGAAAAAGACGGCAAAAGGAATGAAGATACACAGTAAATTTAGTTCACAGTAAAGATGTTTGCTTCAGTTTAATTATCAGCTTATAAAACTACAAGGACCATGTTAAAATACAAACAATTGTGTGTTATTTATCGTGATATTTATCAAATATGGTTATAAATTGAGAAAAATATATATTCAATTATAAAAGAGAATTAAAATATTAAAAACTCAAAGTATCGAAAATTAGTACCGTTAAGTACCGGTATCGATTCGTAGGTACCGGGAATTAGTACCGGATCGACTCAAATATCAAAGGTACCCATCCCTAGGTACATGTATAAAAGAATGTTTAGAGATAGTGAAACATGGCCACCCACTGTGTTTCTGTCTGTGGGGTTACCTGGAAGTCGTTCATCAGGCCGTACTGGCAGCCCCCCTCCTTGCAGATAGAGAAGTCATAGCCAAGCGTGCAGCCGGCATCGGTGCAGTTCACCGTATCGCTCACCGTGTCGTTGTGATCGCCGGTCGCATCCCTAACAATACAGGAACCTGCAAAGTGGAAGCATATAAACACGATGAAGTAACAAACTCAGATTCATCTTTCTGACTTAATAATGTCCTCTAGAAACCTGTGGAGACGGCAACAGCCACGTAGGTGACTCCAGTGATGAGGATGGCCAGCAAGGTGCCTTTAGGGATTGCAGACTGAGGGTCCTAAACATTAAATACATCAGATGGTTTGAATTTCGTTTGTGCATTTCACCAAAAAGCTGCAGGTTAGTGTGAATGCTACAGAACCTAAAGAAAAACAAACACAAGAAGAGAAATGTGACGATGTCAACAGAGATGCTGCATTTAATAGAAACAAAAGGGGGGCCAAGGAGGAAGCCTTGGAGCACACCCCAGTTGTTTTTAATTAGCAAGCAAAATAATTAAATGCTAATAAAACCCACTCAGAACACAAACAAGAGCGTTGGAGGAAAATGAAAAACCCACAATGAGATCACCAGAGATGTTGGCTCCAGCCAGAATCCCGGTGGCAGCGGGGAAGAAGATGGCAAACACGGAAAAAAACGTTTCTTCATCCCTGAAATCTGGACCAAAGTTCTCTAAGAAGATGGCCGCTGTAAGACGGGTTAGAGGAAACAAATCAGCAGAGGTCAGACTGGTGATTTCAATTAAAAAAACTGTGAAACTGACTCTGGTAGCCGAAGAATCCTTTGGGCTCTTTGTTGTCTGCTTTCATGAAGGTCCCTAAAAAGAAGTTGACGATTGCTGCCAGAAGGACTACCAGGAGAACAATCTGAGCCTGATGGAGAGAGATGAGAGATAAATGCTGGAAAACAATCCATGATCATCCTAACCTGAATAATTCCACCAGCGTGTTTCCTTACTTTAGTGAATCCAGCAAGCGGCTAAAGCTAACATTCCTCTTTTTGACATTAGTCCTACCTTGGCTTCCCATTCCATCCCAGCCACAGAGATTCCCAACAACAGGATGACGGTCAGAGTCCCGACGATCCGAATGTCATTCAGCTCATCGGTCATCAGTGCGTCAACATCCTGCAGCCAACAAGCTCGTCAGGTTTCATCCTTACCAACAGAGTGGTTTAATCACACCGGAGCGTTTCTCACACTCAGCATCTCCACCACGGTCTCAGCAAAGCCAACGACGTACATGGCCACGGCCACGGCGTTCGCAAAGGCGAAGATGAGTCCAATAGAACCTCCAAATTCAGGGCCCAGGCTTCTCGAGATCAGGTAGTAGGCTCCTCCTGAATCATTTTAGAGAACAGGTGAGTCTCTGCACACAGTAACGTGTGCTGAGTCATTGCTGCATCCAGCAAATAGCCCTACTCAGTTCTTTTTAACCGGCACTTCACACGTTGTTCATAGATTTCATGAAATTTGAACATGAGGTTTTGTTTAAAGGAGCAATATGTAATAATTTTACAGTGAAACAATCACAAAACAGTCTAATGTCTCAATCACGTTGGAAGGAAGGTTACATAGAAACAGATTTCCTTCTCAGCCGGCTGGAGGGATGTCCGTTTTCCTCTTTTTAAAATGGCCAAAGTTGGACGCAGTGACTGTGAGTGCGCCAGGTTGCAAAATCTGCACCAAGCTAACACTGCAACGCCCGCATTTTTTATTTGACACCGGCCGGCAAAAAGCTCCAGAGTTGTTTAAAGAACCAAAGCCAGTAAACAGGAGCGACCCAGAAGTAATTTCTTGTACCCCTGAGGAATCACAACATCTTTGTTTTTTTACTCTAATATCAGGTAAAACAGGCTAGAGACTAATATTGCGCTAACAACACTAATGGTGAATTAGAAGCAAATAGTCTGCTCTAAAACAATCTAAAGCTGTGTGGTGGTTGTATCAGGAAGCATCACGAGTAGGCAAGAATTCCTTTTTTCAAACCTGTGGCACATGTAGCAATATCAGGCATCCATCCTAACTCCTCACTCCTTTACTTACGTTCTCCTCTCCAATACTGCCCCCTAGTGGTAGACACAACAAGCTCCTTTTTCAATTACCAACAACTCGATATTACAGTGAAGTGCGTGTGTGCGCGCGTGTGTGTGTGTGTGTGTGTGTGTGTGTGTGTGTGTGTGTGTGTGTGTGTGTGTGTGTGTGTGTGTGTGTGTGTGTGTGTGTGTGTGTGTGTGTGTGTGTGTGTGTGTAATAAATACTGTCGGAGGACTTCCAGTCCGATGAGAGTGAACTGCAACCCTTTTGGCTGGTGTGTATTCTTCCTCTCCACTTAACAAAGTCTAAATTGATTGTTTATGATTGGTATTGGTGTTGATCGATTGATTACTATAACCCCCTGTGGTTTGAACTTTCCCTAAGGTAATCTTGGATTGATAAAATTACCCAACATTTTATGTTTATGTTTATTTATTTAGCAGACGTTCTTATCCAAAGCGACTTACACTTTATAACCTACAGGGCATGTTGTGATCGGCTTCTGATCCGCCATCCTTTTGAAAATGCCGTGATGTATTCTGGGTAATTTTTGACCAAGGCTAGGCTACAAGACACCTCCGTGACCCTTGGTGCCGTGACCCGGATGACCCATCATTATTGTTGTTATTTTGTTATTTGTTTTACCTTTAATAAACTGAACTATTTGTGGGAGAACCGTTGCCTGTTATTAACCCCCTTAACGCCGGTTGTCGCAAATTTGCATCAAACATGCATTTGCTCCAAATGCAACCAAAATACCGCATGTACCTGAAAGAAAATCCACAAGTGAAAATGTTTTTATAATTGAAAACTAATTCAGTTGAAGTGACTTGAACAAAGCTGTAACGCCCTGAGATTCTGTATTTTCACTTTTTGACAGCAGAGTCTGAACGGAGAGCTCCATCGGGTAACTCACCCCCTCGAACAAAACCGTTTGTTGCTATGGCAGAAGTGGAGAGACCAGTGATGGTGGTGACCAGAGTGGCCATGAAAATGATGGCAATCGTGAGTCCTGTTTCACAAGAACAGAGAAATGTGGCTCGTGAGGTTGGACTGAGAGGGATTAGAAGCAGAGGCTCCGAGCTCAGACGTACGGGGCGCCTGCTGCAAAAGCACAAGTCCACTTTCAAAGGTTTACGGTTGTAACTTCAAGCAAACATTCTAAAATAAATACGTAGAATTAGCTCTAGAAAACGATGTCCATGAGTCAAAAAGTTTCATCTGGTTACGACTCCATGAAGTTGCGTCTAAAATCAAAGCTAAAGGTATAAAGTTATAAACAATAAAAACTAATAATGTTAAACCGTCCTGAGATTCACAATAAAATATTCAGACAAACAGACAAACAAACAAACAAATAAATAAATAATAGTATCTCACCAATTCCAGCCTGTCCAACAATCCAGGACATTCTGATGAAGAGCATCACGCCCCAAATGTTCAGCATGCAGCGCACCTGCGGCACAGGTAAACTGTAAAATCCTCCAACAGCACGAGGACCCTACGGCTCACACACATCAGGGTTAGAAATCACTAACTTAAGATTTTATCTCCGTTTCTAAACATATAAACGTATAAACATGATGTGCATTCATTCTGGTCCTTAATGGTTGATCGTTCCATGTAAATAGTCGCTCTGTGGGTGGATTTCTCCAGCTTCCATGACTAACCAGAACTCCTTTGACCCATCCAAACTTCACGGTTCCTCCTTTCGCCTCCTTTGCCATCAAGGCTGCCGCCTCCTCGGCTGCTGACAGCTCCTCGCCGTTGGCCAGCCCGTCCTCAAAGGGCTCCTGGAGAAAGAAAGCAAAACAGACAGAGTAGAGTTTATCCTCTGATGTCAAACTATGTTTATGACTTTTATCTGAATCTTACTGTGACAGGATTTTTTTGTCTTTTTGAACATTAAAATAAAATTAATCATAAATGAAAACAACTTTAATCCACATTTTCTAAACTTTAAATGGAAGCAGCAGCAAATGATGAACAACTGAATCCAACGAATCACCAAGTGGAAAGACTTACGTGTTGTTATTATATTCTCTTCATTTCCGGGTCATGAAAGGTCAACAATGGGAAGAGTAAGTATGATTTTTCTCTTTCTTTCTTTCTTTCTTTCTTTCTTTCTTTCTTTCTTTCTTTCTTTCTTTCTTTCTTTCTTTCTTTCTTTTTTCTTTTTTTCTTACTTTCTTTCTTTTTTTCTTTCTTTCTTTCTTTCTTTCTTTCCTTTTAAAGACAACTCTTTTCCCCAGGGTAGATGGCTTTTTTTAATTTAGCATCAAAATTTGTGTAAAATTAAATGACTAATTTTTGGATTACATAACTTTATTTTGACGGTGGGTGGTGCTATATTGATAAATACTTATTTTTCAAGTCCATTAGTTAGAAACCGTATAATATTAGACTAACTTGCATCTTCTCAGAAAAGTTGTGGCATTAATTAGACACAGATAGGATCTTGGACCATTACTTTGTCCAGCTCATCGTGCAGCTCCGACAGCGACGGTCGGGTGAGTTTCTCCCCGAAAGGCGCAGCTGTTTGCCGGTAGAACTCGATGTTGGGCACCGCGTCGATGGTGTTGTGGCCGAAGGTCCGCATGTAGTAGGTGTTGGAGTGCGAGTCGGAGATGTGCGTGTGTCCCGTGCCGGTCGAGTGAAGGCTGACGGAGTCACTCTTGGTCGCGTCCGGCTCGTGGAAAACGTCGGGCGGCATTCCGATGTCCGTGGCGGTCCCCAGCGCACCAGAGTCCATGAAGCCCACTCGGAACCGGCCTTTGGACTCCTCAGGAGGAGCCCTCGACCCATCAGCGGCCCCGGACGCAGGAGTGGGTGCTGGGGATCCCTCCGTCACCACGTCCACCTGAAAGCGGCTCTGAGCGGAGTCGCCGCTCCTCAGAGACGGTTTCTTGTCCGACATGGATACCCAGAGACGGTGACGCGCTGAGGGACGAACCGTGGACCGAATCCCCTGCTCCAGAACCAGAGCTATACCGTAGCATTCACATCCAAACAGACCCGGAGAGTAAACACGTCCAACAAGGTTTTCTGGTTAATCCCTGGCGGTGGATGCGCCAGAACGCACAGCAGCGATCTGCGCAGACCGTGCGTAAAGGACACCAGCTCTGTCTCCTTGTCTCCGCGTGTCCCCGTCTGTCTCTCAGATGATCCCTCAAACGGTTTATTGTCATTTATCAGTTTGTCTCCTCCTCTCTGTGGACTTTAGAGACAGCCCAGTGCGTGTGGGGGTGACGCAGCGCAGCAGAGAGAAACGGGGCAGATGGAGGTCCATTACGCACAGCCTTCCTGCGCCTAAAGGGGATAAATCATGCATGATTGTAAAAGATATCAATAAACGAATTGATTTAATGTTTTATAAACGTTGAAGGTGAACAAATAAGAAAATCTCAACAACAAAAACATCAAACATCAGCGTTCTTTTCCTCTGTGCGCGTGCGCATATGCGTGTTAGTTTTAACAAAGCGATTGTTGTGGGTTCTGGTGACACACTGAGACGTCCACACAGAGGCCCGGACCCTGGTGTGTGGATGCAGCAGCAGCATTAGCATACAGGGACAACAGCTGCTTTCTCCTGCAGAAACCAAACACTGGACAATAAATCCAGGATGACATGAATCTGCTGCAACGTGTCACGTGATTTAGCCGCTTCAAACGCGGCTGTGACGCTTTTAGCAGCGCTGAAGCAGCTGCAGACGTGGATCTGGACCAGGACGAGGTCCGGGTCCCGAGTTTTGGTCTGTTTTTTCTCACCTGATGAAGGGAAGGAGCTTTGTGTGTTAATGGAGAGGAAGGAAGCACCAGCGGAGGAGGAATTGATGTTATGGCAAGCCATTTGTGTATTTATTTAATATGCCTCAGCTCATGTTGTTTCAGTGACACTGTTGGATAAAAGCGCTGTTATCCTAGTGACACTTGTCCAGGTTGTTGGAGATGAACTACAAGGGTGCGGGTCAATGACTGTGGCCATCCATCCATCCATCCATCCTCTCTGCTTCTCCGGAGTCGGGTCACGGGGGCAGGGAGGCCCAGACTTCCCTCTCCCTAGCTACTTGGGCCAGGGAGGGTGGCAACCCCCACCACTACCCGGGCACTACCCAAGGATATAAAGATATATGACGTACATCGAAACTCAGCCAAAAGATCTGGACATACAGGTTTTGGTCCAAATCACCCAGCCTAGTCCAGATGTTCCAGATGAATGTGATGCTGGTCGGCCGGTGGAGCTCAGGGGCAGAAAAGTCACATTTTGTACAGAATGAATCTGTGGAGAACTCTGAGGTTCTCCTGAGCCCGTGTGGATCCATCAGTCACTGAGATCTGATGGGTTCCTGTGATTCTTGAGGGATCAAGCGGTCCTCCATTCCTCAAATTCCCAGAAACGTTTCTTTGTCTGGATGCTGAACAACCTTCTGTTCAGTTTTGCTGTGAGAAAAGTTGTTTTGTCCGCAGTTTTCTGTGGATTTTCCCTCCCAACGTTCTCACCTGTCACCTGTAATCTGCTGATTGGAGAAACTTCCAAAACTTTTCACTTTTGTTTGTTTTTCATTTCTCACAGTCGATCTCCGATTCCTTTTTTAAATTGAGGTTCAGGTTTGTTTATTTTGGGTCTGTCTGTAATAAACCAACTTCAGAAGCATTCAGAGCAACGAATTTAAGTTCAAACGGGCGTTTTTAACAGATAGGTCATAAAATCATCATCCCAGGTTAAAGTTTGGTTCAGTGACGTTAGCAGATCCTCCAAAAGCAGCTCCTTTACCTCCATAAAACTAAAGACTGACTCCAGATAATTATTAACAAACTAAAACTCAAGCTTTTTCTGTGTTAAAGTTCATTTTTATTACACATTTTTATTTCTTTAAACTGAAATGTTCCTTTTGTAAAACTTCACCGATAAAAGTTTGGTCTCAGAGAAGATTCAGGATTCTTTTAATTAAAATTAACAAGAAAAAACGATGAGATGATCTAAATGTTTGGCTTTGCTGCAAATAAACATGTAAAAAGTACAAATACTAGATTAAAAATGGGTGTGGAAGCGGCTGATTCTCACGCCGACTTTAAAGAATCATGAGAGGAACAAGTTCTGGATGAAGACTTCTGATCAGCTCGACTCGCCCTGATGACCACAAAAACAAAACTGATTTGTTTGAGTCAAAAATCTGTTTAAAGTAAGGAATAATCACACATTTTACAACAAAAATAAAACTTTATGTTAAAATAGAACATTTCCCCCCAGAAACAACAATTTCTCTATTTAAGAAGGACAGGTATTTACACGGGAGTCGTTGTTCCTGTAACAGCAGAATCGAGTGAATACAACATAAACAAGCCAGAATTGCTTTAATCAGGGTAACATTTAAGGTGACCGATCACCAGAATAAAAACTAAAGACACCAGATAGAAATAGGAAGTATTGATGCAACCACTACAGATATCCAATCTCATATCAAAGCAAATAAAGACTAATTTGATTCTCCCTTTGGAGAAAGGCTGATGCAGCATTCAAACTACAGTACTCCTGTTTGTCTTTATTAATGTTTGAATGCTGTTTATTTCATTGGTGTTTATTTGTTTACTTATTTATTGGGAAATGTGGTGTATCGTGATTTTGAGGTGATCACCCCAATGAAATGGTTTTTAGTTTCAGTTTCGTTACAGTTTTTAGCAATCGGTTTCTGCAAGCAGCATTCAAACAGCATTTCTGCGTGAAATGCAGTTTATCCAGTTTTATTGACTTTTATTTTATGGGCAGCTTGAGGAGGTCAGACGGAGGGAG